TATCTTTTAAAAAATATAAAGTTATATATTCCATATGCTCTCGACTGTGAAAAGATTAAATGGAGAGAAAAGAAATACAATGCAAGGTACAGATGTGAGCCACATATGTAATTTAAATTTTTCTAGTAGCCACAGAAAGTGATTAAATTGATTTTATTAACATATCTTCTTTAATTCAATATATATAAAATATAACTCCATATGTTATCAACGTAATTATTAATGAGATATTTTACATCCTTTTTCTCAGACTGTCCTCCAAATCCAGTGTGTGTTTTACACTTACACCACATCTCAATTGGAACTAGCCAAGCTGTAAGAGTTCAACAGCCACTGAAGGCTGTGGCCCCTGCGCTGGACCCACAGGCAGAGAACAGACCAGAAGCAAAGATGCCAAATGGGAACACAGGCTCTCCTGGGAAGAAGAAAATATAGATGACTTTTATCTACTTCTTTAGTTTCTTTTTTCTTGTTTTTCCATATTTTCTACAATGATCTTGTTAGAAATGCAGCATGGAAGGCGCCATCCAGACCTAGTGAACCACTTTGACAAGATGCCTGGGTGATTCATTGGGACATCAAAGTTTGAGAAGCACTGCTCGGAAGTAACAGTAACAGCTTGCACGGGACTTAAATATATGCGAGGCCTATATCCTAAGCATTTGAGGTATATTAGCTCTTTTAATCTTCACAATAATCCTGAGGCACCAAGAAGTTACACCAACCTCCCCACATCACGCGAGTCAGAGACAGAGCTGGGAGTGGGAGGCGGGCAGCCTGGCTCTGAGGCTGCACCTGCATCCCGCAGCCGCCCTGAGTACGGCTCAGTGAACAGGCTTCAGTCCTCATAGTCTCCTTCCGTCTGTGAGTCATACTTGCATCTATTCTGATGCCACACCTCTGAACTAGTATTGCTGAGAAAAGGACAGCTTTGAAATCAAAGACAAAGTTACAATCTCTGCCTTTCCTACTTAAATGATCTTGAGCAAACCACAAATCTTCACTGAGCCTCAATTTCCTTTTCTGAAAAACGGGTATACACTCTTCACATGATAAGAAGTGTTTTAGGGGTTCTTTGAGACCAAGTTGTGAGGATTAAATGAAACTATAAGTGAACAAAATACCAAGCACGATCGGTGATATGTGGTAGGAACCCACTAAGTGCTAATGTTGCTCTGTCCCCTGCTACAACAATAATTACTCAGCACCTATTAGACACTGGGCACTGCTCTAGGACCCAGGAGGCAAGCAGTACACAAGGCCCCGCCTTCCCACAGCTCAGATCCTGGCATGCAGATAATTAGATGATTCACACTGAAAGCAAACACAGAGAACTGCTAAGTAACTGATTTTGTCCTAACTTTGAATAAAAGTCTAATTTCCCTGAGTAAACAAGTTAGAAAACAGCAAATGCAGTAAAAGTTGAAGGGTACATGAAAAATTGCATAAGTATCTCTGGATTGAACGAAATGACAAAAAAAAAAACTTGAATTTGAATGCACAAAATCAAATAAAATACACATTTCTGGAATAGGCACATATTTTTCTCTCTTGGAAAAAAAAAGTTATTTAACCGCAGAGGAAGCATCACCATGAATATTAAAGTTTCAGAATAAGGTATTCAAATTCAATGTTAGCTCAGAAAGAGGGTTGAGTTCTTAGGCTTTACCAACATTGTTGTGCCTGCTAAATCCTCTGGTTTTTTTTTTTTCTTAATCTGTCCTAAGAACAGATTTCTATGGGCCTGTGGCTGCAGCAGTTTGCAACGGAAACACCAGCTTCCTAAGGGGAAAGCTACTCTTAGGGTCTACCGGTTAGCTATTACCAGCAGCTTCCCAGCCCTGGAAACATACTCCAAGGAGCGCCTCGAGCAAGTGAGGCATCCGCCCATCATGTGCCCCAGGGCTCATCAGTGCCCCAGTGATCACCGAGGTGGCTTCAACTCACCAGCCAGGGCTGAGGGATCTCCGGCAGAGGCATCTGAGGAGGGGCCGGCAGGCTGCCGGTGGTTTCTTGCTTCGGAGCATGATCTTTCACTTCAAAACCTGTAAGTATTAACCAAAACCACAGACCTGGATGAGGATGAGGAAGATGAGGAAGACAGTACTAGGAGCCGTCATTTTCTGAGCCCCTTGTCGAATATTCTTGCAAATATTTATTTTCTCTAATTCTTTACAATAATCTGCAAGGTAGATATTATTATTCTCCATTTTACAGGTTAAGAATCTATGGCTCGAATTTAAAAAAAGAAAGAAAAGAAAAGAGTAAGGAACAGACTGAAACATTAACAGCTAGAAGTGAGGGAGCTGGCCCCGGAGCCTACATTCTCCCCGATGCCCCGCTGCCTCTCAAAGGCAAGTTGCTCCACCTGAACTTCTACTCGGGACAGTACTTACCTGTACACTAAGGAGGGCAGACACGTTCCTAGGAATCAAGAGATTTTTATTAAGTTCTCTCGTAAAGGGAGCTACTGTGATAAACATACTTTATGGATGACATGACTGATACAAGCTCGCACCCCTCAAAGCACTGGTGTTAGAATCAGGAAGACAGATACAAATACAACTAACTGTTAGAAAACGTGATGTGCACTATGCCCATGAAGGCAGAGGAGAGGAAGGAACAAGTCTCAACGTGGGCACAGCACTGTTTATATGTCAGAGCTCACTTGGAAAGATCTGTAAAAATAATCACTTAACAATGATCACCTGTATGGGTCAAGCATAACATGATGCTAAAGGCCAGGAATGGAAATATGAAAAAACCTAGTGCCTGACCTCCAGGGGCTGCAGTGGAGACGAGAATTTTGGCAAACAATAAAAAAAGAAAAGGAGAGAAAAAAAGAACAAAGGAAAACTCTGCTACTACCAAAAAAAAAAAAAAAATCAGTGGATAGGTTTAAAGCAAATTGAAGGGCTGAAGAAAAAATTCGTGAATTGGTAAATATCAGAAGATACATCCAGAAGGAAACACAGAGACACACAGGCTCAAGCTCACCAGGCAGAGGAACAGAGGACGGGAAATTGGAGAAAGCAAACAGCACTGCCAAGGCACAGAAGGCCAAGCACCGGGTGTGCCCTGACCAGGAGTCTGCAACAGCTGACAGAAGGGGAGAGGTTGCCTGGATAGATGGTGGGACCACTAGCTCAGAAAAGAAAGTGCCTCCTCCTACGTAGAGGAGATGAGGTTGCAAAGTAACACAACTTCTGGTAATAAAAGAATCACAAAGACTAACAGCCAATCTGCTTAATAAAGGTAATTATAAAAAATAATTATTGAGTGACACTACGTGTCAGGCACTGTTTTGAAATATTTTATCTCATTCAACCCTTAGATCCCATGAGGTGGATGCTACTTAATACTTTTTTACAGATAAAGTGTGAAGACATTAAGGAACTAGTGCAAGGTCACACATTTGGTAATGGGCAGAGCCAGGAGACAAAGCCAGTTAGACTCAGGAGTCCACCCAACACACACGCCCACATATTAATATTATAAAGGGCCTTCTAGGGCAGGCTAAGGAGCCTAGATTTTGACCATAGGCAAAGGAAGTAACAAAATTACAAACATGAACATTTCATATTGACTCCAAAATACAGCCCTCAACCTGCTTTCTATCCTAAATGACCGGTCTCATCATCTGCCCAGGTATCCGTACCACTATTTAATCTGCCACCAAATCCTTTGACCCATCTTCCAGATGGACCAGGCAAGCTCTCCAGAATGCAAACATAACTGCGTCATATTGTGGCTTCATTTACTAGAAACCAGTGAATTTTATACTTTCAATGGGTGACGTGTATGGTCTGTGAAATTCTCTCTCAATAAAGATGTTTAAAAGAAAAATCTCTACACCTCATCCAGCTATCTCCTACAGAGCCTCCAAGATTCAAATAGCATAACCTCCAAGAATTGCCTCTCAGCCTGCACCACTCTCTGCTCTCATCGCCCTGCTTTGGAGTCTGCCCTTGAGTGCTCCCACAACCCTTGATGCTCACGCTATTCCACTTTTCTGTGTTACCCACTGAGCATGAAAGAGTTAACAGAGCAGGCCTGAGGCCTCCATGTGCACAGGGGCCTGCTTGCAAGTCTGGTCCTTGACTGGCATCTGGAAACTGGGACTTCAGAAGTACCCCCACCATTCCCCAATCGGTAAGGCTGGTTTACTTTTTCTGTGCTGTTTGTGCGAACAGTGTGGTTGGTCCCTGCTGAACATCTGCTTTTTTTTCCAGGAGTCTGGAATTCTGGCACGTGCTAGGCAGAGGGTGCCTATAGGACCAGCCCCAAGTAAAAGCCTCAGGCACTGAGTTTCTGATGAACTTCCCTGACAGAAATGTCACACACATGGGGCTGCATTTTTGTTGCTGAGAACGGAGTGTGCTCCGTGTGACCCTCACAGGAGGAGGAGAGCATAAGGAAGCCCACACACCGGCTCTTGCAGACTCTGCCTGGGTCTCTTCCCTTCCGGTCAGCAGTCAGGCCTGTATCTTCACTACTGCTGTAATGTATCCTGAGCACGAGTGAGTGCAGCAATGTGCCGAGTTCCGTGAGTCCTTCTAGTTAATCTCCTCTGGATGTCGGGGTGCTCTTGGGGACCCCAACACACTCACAATTCTATTAGCTTCTTAAAGGCTTTACCTTTCCTAGAGGCTAACACAGTACCTGGCACAAGCCTAGGCCCTCAATGAAAACTTGATGAATAAGTAAGTTCCTAAGTTAAAGAACAAATGAACATGTTTTAGAAAGATAGTAGAATTAAAGATGGTGTGGAAGCCAAAAGAAGCTGGAAGAAGAATGACCAGATGTTTGAATGACACTCACCTTTGGAGGACTGTATCCTCAGCAGAATATTGGTTATTACGGCCTTTTTCTCCCTGACAGTTGAGGTTAGATATTCATGGTCCAGGAGTTCAAGAAAGAGGCGAAGTTCAACTATTAACTCTTCCATTGCTGAAAACAAAGGAGAGAGGAAGGGCATTATTAGGCCCACTGATTTGCAAATGTCACAAGACCAATACTAAGTTTTACTCAGGGTATTTCATTTTTAGCTTGATTACTGAATATAGTATTCTAACATAAAAAACAAGTTTGCTGAGACCAGGTCAATCAAAAGATGTATATTTCATTTGAATAAATGCACTCCTCCTTCACTTTTGCTTTGAGGCAGCAAAATTCAACTGGGAGAAGCTCCAAAGCCATGCTGCCAACAGATGCTGTCACAGCCTAAAGGCCTGACATCATCAGTGGGTGACAATTACATGATATTAAATTTCAGTGTCTAGAAGGAGAAGGGAGTTTAAAATGCCAAATAGTTTTCAAATGACCACTAGGGCATGGTTTCAGAAACTCAACACCCAGCTCTGCTTTTGTAGGGCTGGCTCCATCTCCAGGATGACTGTGAGCACACTGTGAACTAAAATAAAATCTTAAGGCTCCCCCCGCCCCCACACCCTGCCCACCCCCCAACAACTGACTGAATGGACCCCCTCCTGGCCAAGGGGATATCCTAAAACTAAATTGCAAGCCAAGAGGAGGGAGGTCAGATGCCTCATCATGCCCCCCTCCCTTCTTGGGGATATCCTTTGTAACCCATTAACAGGTCTAGGGGTATTCAAAACAAACCTGCAGGTCCTCAATTTACACAACAAATATATGTCTGGTGGCTTGTCTCTGATTAACAGACCTCTTTATCTTAAAACATTCCAAGCCTTTAGACAAAGCTTCATGTCTTTGACCAATTACAAGTCAAAGAATCTGTAAACCCACCTATAACCCCCACAATAAACCCTCTATAAACTGCCCCCCTTCCAGATGGTCCACCTTTTCGTGCCAAACCAATGTATGCCTCCCACACATTGATTTATGACTTTACCTATAACCCCTGTCTCCCTGAAATGTATAAAACCAAACTGTAACCCAGCCACACCGAGTCCGCTTGCTCAAGGCTTCTTGGGCGTGGCTCTGGGTCACGGTCCTCAAATTTGGCTCAGAATAAATCTCTTTAAAATTATTTTACAGAGTTTGGCTTCTTTTCCATTCACAATAACATTTATACAGTTATCACAAAGGATGCCAGATGTCGAGGAGGATATAAAATACAAGTGCAGGTCCTGCCTTCCACCACGTCTTTTCCTTCTAGGATTATGGTAGACTTTTCCTCTGATATCCACAAGGCTGAAATACTGGCTTATGTCAGCAATTTAGAAATGATGATGTGAACCTCTAGGGATGTGAACTCCTCCTTTCAGGGAGTCCATGAGGCCCAAACTATTTTCATAATAGTAAGACATTATTCACGTTTTTCTGCACTAATGGTACAAATGCAAAGGTAAAACTGCTAGTATCTTAAAGCCAATCAAAGCAGTGAGATCAAACTATCCTAGTAGTCACTGTATTCTTCCCCACACCCTCACAGTAAAAAAAAAAAAAAGGCTACTTTCGCTTAAGAGAGTCCTTGATGGAGCAGTAAAAAATCATTGCTTTTATTAAATTTCAACCCTTTAGGACACACCTTTTTAACCTCCATGTGATGACATGGGAAGTAGGCATGAAGCACTTCTACTGACAAAGCACAATAGTGTCTAGAGAAAAATCACTTGTGCTATTGTTTGAGTTGCGAGCTGCCTGAAGCCTTTTCGTATTCAGTACCACCTTCACTTCAAAGAAGGAATGGCAAGCAAATTACCATTATTTAGACTTGAGTACTTGGCAGACTTTCTCAAAAACAAATGAACTATCACTTCAAGTTAAACAATGGATAGCATTTGTGGCCAATGATAAAAGTTGATCTTCCAAGTGAAAATAAGAATTTTTGAAAACTTGTATCTGTCACTGTAAGAGCTTTACAATCTCCCAATACTTAGAAACTTTTCCAATGAGATCAGAAGTAACAATGACAAAAGTGACGTTTTGAAACTTTATTGCATAACGTAATATGTTGCTATTTGGAAGATCTGCACAACTCGGTGAACCATGATGTTACAAAATCATACGTGGGCAAAAGAACCAACTAAAGTGCAAAATAAACTGAAATATTCTAATGTAAGAGGATGGTACAGCTTCAGACTCTACATCACAACTAACCTTTAAGAAACTACCACTCACCGAGTGAGTTGTAATATAGTATTAAAGAAGAATATCTACAGTTTTCTGAAAAGGCTACTGAAAAACTCTTCTCTTTCCCAAATACCTATCTCTGTGAGGTCACATTTTCTTCATGCACTTCCACCATGACACCTCCTCACACACTCTGAAGGAAGGAATGGATATGAGAATCAGCTATCTTCTACTAAGCCAAATACTAATGATACTTACAAAAATATAAAACAATGCTACTCTTCTAATTATCCTGTTTTGGTAAATATAATTACTTTTCATAAATATATATTATTTATGTTAACATATAATGCGTTTACTGAGGTTTGTTGGGTTTGCGGGTTTTTTTGGGGGGGGGACGGGGTTGAGACAGAGTTTCACTCTGTTGCCCAGGCTAGACTGCAGTGGTATCATCATAGCTCAATGCAACTTCCAACTCCTGGCCTCAAGTAGTCCTCCCGCCTCAGCCTCCCAAACTGCTGGGATTATAGGTGTGAGCCACCCTGCCCAGCCAAGCTTATTGATATTTTTTAATGAATTAATATCTTAAAATTTGCCTGTTTAAAATTCTAATATGATAATATCTACAGATAATATAACCGCATAAATAAAAGCTCTTTGAGGTCTTCAAAATATATTTTGAGACCAAAAAGTTTGAGAACCACTGATGTATGTAATTACTTTAAGTTCTTCATTCATTCATCAAACACTTTTGTCAGTGATATAAGTCATGCATCTTGACTGAGGAAAGCAAAATAAAAATGATTCATACAAAAAAATCTATACAAAAAAGTTTGAGAACCACTGGTCTACGGGATTCTTTCCAAATCTACTATTCTATAAGTCTACAACATCCTCCAGAATTAAAGATCTTAACTGAGACCACCTTTCTATAAGTACCAAAGCTCTCATAATTTTAGGTAAGTGGGGAGAGAAATGGCAAATGAGCCATAAATAGGCAGGCTGTGTCACTGGCCGTTCACTTTTCCTAATTGGGAAAGTTTCTCCTCTACGAAATGAAGAAGTTGAACTGAGTAAGTAAGTCTTTAAGGTCCTTTTCATTATTAAAAAAATTTCTTAATGATTCTAAGTGGAAAGCAATCTCATTTATACTTTAAAAAATGATGGGCTGATGGCATATTTCACAATAGCCCAAAGGTAGAAACAACCTAAATTTCTCTGGACGAATGGTCAAACAAAATGTAGTATACAATAGAATATGATTTAGTCATAAAAAGGAGTAAAATTCAGATACATGCTACAACACGGATGAACCCTGAAAACATTATGATACGTGAAATAAGCCAGACACAAAAGGGCAAATACTGTATGGCTCCACTCATGTGAGGTCCTTAAACTAGTCAAATTCATGGAGACAGAAATTAGAACAGTGGTTACCAGGGGCTGGGCGGAGGGAGAACATGGGGTTTAATGTGTTCAGAGTTACCGTTTGGAATGATGAAAATGTTCTGGAAATGGATAATGAGCACTGCACAACAATGTGAATATATCTAATGACACTAAATTTGGTACTCGAAAAGAGTTAAAATGGTAAAGTTTATGGTGTGCATAGTTTACCACAATAGACAAGGGATTCACTTGGGTTCCAGCTAATAGCATCAAAATATCTGAAGAGGATGGAAGAACGCACCTATCCTAACTCCTCACCTAAAACCTGAGCTCCCTTTACAGTGCTCCCACTGAGGACTTTGCCAACCCCCAGAGCCTAGGAGCCTGCTGTAACCCTTGCTGGGTCATCTGCTCAGCCCACACTCCTCGCGTGAGAGAGCAGCGCCCTCAACCCTAAGGGTGGACACTCGCAGCCATCGCTACACTACAAGGCCCTGCACACCACCTCCCACTACGAGGTAATCACTAACTGGACCTCCCTACCCCTAGCTGGCCAATCCGATCCTCTGTATCTCGTGCCCGGGGACCAAGAAATATGAGTCAGTTGGAACAGTCTCTTGAACAGTAGATAGGGAAGCGCAGCAACTACGAAGCAGCCAAGTTCAAGCACACAGGTGTCAAAGCATAGAAGCCAGCGGAAGAAAGAGGGAGAAGAATGAAGTTGATACACTCAGAGGCAGGAAACCACATGAGAGAAGAAGCATCTGACAGACAACTAGATTCCTGAGACTTTTCTGTTCCTATTTTTAGTTACTTATGAAACTGGGCTGCACTTGAATTCCATGAAATATTTGTATCCTTCTAACAAATTTTCAATTCATTTTTTTAATTATGCTAAACTGTGTGGTTTTCTATTCACCTAAAATTGCAACCAAAAGATTCACAAAACACAGCTCTTAGCACCTCAGAATGCAAAACATCCCAATATCAGAGTTAGAAAAATTGTTAGAAAAGAAGTACCTTCTTTTTGTGATCTTCACAGACTAAATAAACCACATTTTACACTTGACAGTCCTTTCAAACACTTAAGCTCAAATCCTTTCTCCCAGTCTTCTCTAATTAAACATCCCTGTTGGCTCCCACTCACTAAAGTTTTCCTTAATTACCAAAATTCATTCACCTTTTAGCAGCTGCACTATAACTGGACACTTAGTGACCTTAAGGTTTACAGATGACCCTTGAACAACGTGAGTTTAAAATGTGCGTGTCCACTTACATGCGGATATTTTTTCAACCAAATGCGGACTGAAAATAAAGTGTTCGCCAGATGCAAAACCCACACGGACAGAGAAACGACTTTTCGTAAACACTGGTTCCACAGGGCTGACTGTGGGCTTTAGTGTGCACGGACAGGGGTGGGTATATGGGGGTGTATGGGTGTGGGGGGTACAATCCCCTGCGTATATTGAGGGGACTGTATTTGGTTTGGGGGGAGTTTTTTCCTC